CAAGACTGACATTTATTGTCCACTATGGTTGCCCCAAAAATGTGGTTCTGAGCCATTCTCCCTTCCTATTAAAGACATCTCTAACCCCTCTATTCAGGCTCACTCCATCCAAACAAAGGCCAACTTTCTTGGTTGCCTGGTTTTATGTTGCTACAATCCTTCAATCTTATGATGCACATCATATCTAATTTACTTTGTCCAATAGTAGGATGTAACAGAAAACTGCACATGGGGAAATGAAAACATTTAGTCATGGCATTGGACCAGTAATCCAGAAACCCAGGCTAACTGGAGACAAGGGTTCAAATCCTAACATGACAGCTGATGGAATTCAAAGCTAGAACATGAAACCAGTTTTGATAGTCATAAAAACCCATCAGCATTGGATGAAGTGAATGTTTGTGGGTGTGATGCAAATCAAGTGGCTGCTTTGTCCTGGATGGTGTCGACCTTCTTGAGTGTTGTTGGAGCTGCACTCATCAAGGCAAGTGGGGAGCATTCCATCACACTCCGGACTTATCGATGTCAGACAGGCTTTGGAGAATCACAAGGCAACTAATCCACTGCTTCTGACCTGGTCTTACAGACAGCATTAGTAAGACTACTCCAGTTCAGGTTCTGGTCAATGATGTTGATAGCAGTGGGATTCAGTGATGATAATGCCATTGAACATTATGCACACAGAATACAAAAACATTTAGTCTAATGATACCACGTGATCTTGGTGATGCATTATGGAAAATGGTTTATTCTTGTTATCAGTGTTCCAGTTCCATGAAAGGATTAAAGAAAATCATCAAGCTTCAGCTGTTGGTATTTTGTCATTTAATCTGTTGTCAACAAAGGTTCTCAAGTGCCCATCAGCAGTTACTGCCTTTAAAGAAAGGGTTCTATGTTTGACATGATCTTGACAATTCCTCCATTGTTGCACAAACAGGACTCGTCTGGCAACTGGTAAAAAACAGTTCTCACATTTATATATGGAGTTGAATAATAAACTATCATTCAATTTCTTTTTAGAAGTATACATTATGTAAGTAACCAACGTTTGGTACGATTTTAGAATGCAAGGATATACTTTCACATTTAGCCGATCACTTTTCCAAGTGGGATATTTTGATATAATTCACTTATCCTTCATGCAAGAATTCATATTTTATGCAATATGTCAGAGCCAAATTGCCACTTTTCATAATTCTTGCATAGTTGGGCACTTGAAAATGTACTGCCACTTTTATTTAGATATGCCATTTAAATGAAAATCCAGAATAAAGGAGAGATAACAAGGTGTAGAGCTGGATGAACACAGCAGAAAAATTTTTTCTGAAGAAGGGTCTAGGCCCGAAACGTCAGCCTTCCTGCTCCTCTGATGCTGCTTGGCCTGCAGCGTTCATCCAGCTCTACACCTTGTTATCTCGGATTCTCCAGCATCTGCAGTTCCTACTATCTCTCAAGAATAAAGGAAGTGGTCTTACCTGCTTCTCCAAACAAGATTAATCCTGCAGCTACCGCTCCATCCAGTGTACTTGTTGATTCAATTATCTAGAAGGTGCGAGAGGAGGGCTATCAGAGAAATGTGGATGAATGAAAAAATTCTCAAAGCAAACACTGGTGAATCCCACTTCAAATATACCAATCCCTACATCCCCATGCTTCAGAGAGTTTCTTCAGTGAGAAGCTGAGGTTTAACATTCTGTTTTGTACAAAGTGTGAAAATCTCTGCCAGGAAGCAACAAGGCAAAATATCACCTCTGGTTCCTGCTTCTGATCTAGAGAATGTTGGACAAGCACAGGATTGGATTTGGCCGTGATATTCTTTACAGTTAAGCAATTTGCTAACGCTGGCTGAAAATGTTTACGCACGAACAGTCACCACTTGTGATATTAAGTACCCTCTGAACTGTGGAATCATATCCAGAATCTCAAGAGTTGTTGCAGCACGGGTGACCCATTCGGTTAATTGTACCTGTGCGCTCACTTAAGAAGCAATTTACCCAGCGTTACTCCCAAGCCTTCTCCTCAGTTCCCTCTTAAACTTAAGAATAGAAAGCCTATCCAATACCTCTCCTTATAAATTTTAAGCCCTTCAAGTGTCTGAATTACTTCGCCCTTCACCATGACCTGTACACATCTTATTCCTTGTTAAAATATAAATTAATCGTTTAATGCTTCTTCCTTTTTGCTCCCCAAATACACCAATCCTCCTTTTACCACCTTTTACTTTTTACATGCTTAAAGTTAGTCAATGTCTTCACTCATGAAGATATGAGTCAGTTAGCTAGAAAAATAGGGAAAATAAAAATATTATTTTACTTGGCTTATGTTCTACTAACCACAACAAAAATACTGAAAACTTACCAATTACTGTCAGCTGGCTTTTTTTGAATAGTACAATATTCAAATTAATATGCTAAATGATATGTCACCAGCTACCCAGCTAGAACAACCTCTAATATTTTTGTGAAATTTAAACATGACAGAAAATGAAAGCGTGTTGTCTTCACAAGCCCATGATATACACTCCTAATGTGTATCAAGGTGTATTAACAATGGCCAGCTGGCTACAATTGTTAGCATATTTTTTTTTTTATAACTCGAGAGCTATCCTGATTTCTGGTAACGTTCTAATGTACTTCCTGCCCCAATTCTTCTGTCTAAATGCAGTAATTCACATTTCTCCACACTGACCTGTGTCTACCTTCTATCTATTCTTTCCAACTCTTATCTATGCTGTTATCAAAACATGACAACCTCTAATTTGTAAACATTTACTCATTTGCAAAATGCAGACATCACTGCCAAAGTTATTGACCATGGCTGGTTCGCATAAGAATGCGGTGGTGTCATACAATATGCCAGTGTCTCTATTATCAAGTTATTCCACATTGTTGACTATAGGAGTTTACCTATGATTGATTACTACTTATAAAGTTTACCCTTTTGCTCATTTAACAGATGCAAGCCTCCAGTCAAAATGCAAGAAAGAAAGTGATTATTAACAAGAAAGACACAAGTCAATGGTGCTCATCAGGTTGCTCAAGATTATACTCCATTGCTGAACCTGAAAATAGAGTGGGTTCAAAGGTTTTATTAAATATACACCCAACTGTGTTCCAGTTTCCTCTAATCCTTTCTGAATAGCAACTCACACTGTACTGGCAGTGCATGCACGGCAGCAGCTCTCTCAAAGTTCACACAGATGGTCAATCAGTAGGTGTTCTCACTAGCGTGCTGGACCATTTCTTTACTACCCTCTTTAAACAAAGGTTCATTGAATATGAAATACAAGAAGGAATGTTTGATTTGTAAATTTTCTGCCTTTCTTGTTCAAGACATAGAAAGGCCAAAGCGCTCACAAAGTCATTTTGCTTAACATCAACGCAAACCAAGGATCAAAAACATGGCTACGGTCTAGAAAATGTGACTCGGTGACAAATACATCCAAGTACAAGTTTCAAATTTAATACAATTGCATATCATTCCAATATCTACTTACCTGCAATAGTTCAGCATCTGTTCTATTTGGAAATATTTCTGTCAGTTTTTGTACTTTGGAAGCAATAGAATCCCCCATGTCAACAGAATGAGATGAGCCACTGCTGTCCAGAAAAGACCCATTTTCTTTTGGGGAAAGCTGTTCATCCTCACCAGATGAAAAGTCAACAGGGTTATTTCTGAAATAAATTATGTACAAATAAACATCAATCAATCAGAGACTAGATAAGGCTTACGCAAATAAATATTACATTAATGCAACAAAAATGGGTTGTACATTAAACCACAATTTTATCCATCATGTACTTCAGATATCATGAAAGCCTACACAAGTTTAGGTGCAGTAAAAAAGAAAATATTTTAAAGTTAATTGAATGTAAATCACTTTGGATTCGGTCTCTGGTTTTTAGGAGCGGCTACAAAAACGTGTGCGCATAACCAGTTGTAACATCACAAAGTATTCTTAAAATAACCAACATTTAACATTACATCACCAATCCTGTACAAGACAAATGGGTAGGAAAAATAAATCATTGTTCGTGAAAAGAAGCAAGTAAAGCAAGTTAAATATACATTGTAATCATGAAGCACTCAAATCACATTAGGTTGTGTAGATCATAAGACCATAAGACACAGGAGTAGAAATTAGACCATTCAGCCCATTGAGTCTGCCCTGCCATTCAATCATGGCCGATAATTTTCTCAATCCCAATTTTCCGCTTCCTCCCTATAACCCTTGATCACCTTTACAATCAAGAGCCTATCTCTCTCCGTCTTAAATATACTCAAGGACCTGGCCTCCACAGTCTTCTGTGGCAGTGAATTTCATAGCTTCACCACTCTCTGGCTGGAGGAGTTTCTCTTTATCTCCACTCCAACAGGTCTTCCCTTTACTCTAAGGTCTTCACCTATCCTACAAATGGAAACATCCTCCCAACATCCACTCTGTCCAAGCCATTCAGTATTCTGTAGGTTTCAATTAGATCCCCTGTCATCCTTCTAAACTCGAGTATAGACCCAGAGTCCTCAAAATGTTCCTCATATGTTAAGATTTTCATTCTGGGACCATCCTCGTGAATCTCCTCTGAACTTATTCCAGGACCAGTACATCTTTCCTGAGATATGGGGCCCAAAACTGCGCACAATATTCCAAATGTAGCCTGACCAGAGCCTGATAGAGCCGAAGTACATCCCTGCTTTTGTATTCAAGTCCTCTCAAAATAAGTGCCAATGTTGCATTTGCCTTCCTAACTACAAACTCAATCTGCAAGTTTACCTCAAGAGAATCCTGAACCAGAACTCCCAAGTTCCTTTGCACTTCAGAATTTTCTCCCCATTTAGAAAATAGTCCATGCTTCTATTCTTCTTACCAAAGTACATGACCTCACACTTTCCCATGTTGTACTCCATCTGCCACTTCTCTTGATCTGTCCAAATCCTTCTGCAGCCTCCCTGCATCCTCAATACTACCTGTCCCTCTACCTATCTTTGTATCATCTGCAAACTTAGCCAGAATGCCCTCAGTTTCTTCATCTAGATCATTAATGTATAACGTGAAAAGTTGTGGTCCCAATACTGACCCTTGTGGAACACCACTTGTCACCAGCTGCCATCCAGAGAAAGACCCTTTTAACGCCATTATCTGGCTGTCTGGCAGAAAGCAATCAATGCTAGTACCTTGCCTCTAACACCATGGGCCCTTATCTTTGTCAGCAGCCTCCCGTGCAGCACCTTGTCAAAGGCCTTCTTCAAGTCCAGGTAGGTAACATCCATTGGCTCTCTTTGGTCTAACCTGCTCGTTATTTCCTCAAAGAATTCTAACAGATTTGTCAGGCATCACGTCCCCTTGATAAAGCCATGCTGACTTTGCCCTATTTTATCATGCACTTCCAAGTATTCAGAAATCTCATCCTTCACAATGGACTCTAAAATCTTACCCACGACCGAGGTTAGGCTAATCGGCCTGTAATTTTCAGTCTTTTGCCCTACGCCCTTTTTAAACAGAGATGTCATGTTAACAACTTTCCAGTCCTCTGAGACCGTCCTTGACTCTAGCGATTCCTGAAAGATCACCACTAACGCCTCTACTATCTCTTCAGCTATCTCCTTAAGAATTCTGGGGAGTAGTCCATCTGGTCCTGGCGATTTATCCACCTTCAGGCCATTCAATTTTTCTAGCACCTTCTCCTTGGTGATGGCCACCATACTCAGTTCTGCCTCCTGGTGGATTTTTGCGATATTACTCATGTCTTCCACTGTGAAGACTGATGCAAAGAAATTATTCAACTCCTTAGCCATTTCCTTGTTCCCCACTAGTCTCTCCAGCGTCATTTCCAGTGGTCCAATGTCCACTTTGCCTCTCTTTTGCCCTTTATATATCTAAAGAAACTCTTACAGTCCTCCTTTATATTATTGGCTAGCTTTTCCTCATATTTAATCTTCTCTCTCATTTTTTTTTGTTGCCCCTGTTGGTCTTTGTAAGTTTCCCAATCCTCTGGTTTCCCACTGCCCTTCGCCACATTATATGCTTTCTTTTTCACTTTTATGCTATCCCTGACTTCCCTAATCAGCCATGGTTGCCTCACTGTCCCTGTATCATGCTTCTTTTTCCTAGGGATGAATTTTTGCTGTGTCTTCTGAATTACTCCTCGAAACTCCTGCCATTGCTGTTCCACTGTCTTTCCTGCTAGGATCCTCTCCCAGTCAATTCTGCCCAGTTCCCTCCTCATGCCTCTGGAGTTGCCCTTATTCAGCTGTAATACCATTACCTCTGATTCTATCTTCTCCTTCTCAAAATACAGAGTAAATTCAGTCATGCTATGATCACTACCTCCTAAGGGTTCCTTTACCTTAAGCTCCCTTATCAAGACTGCCCCATTGTACAACACTAAATTCAGTATTGCCTGTTTCCTATCCACCACAAGCTGCTCCACAAAGCATCTCGTAGACATTCTACAAATTCCTTTTCCTGCCATCCACTATTAACTTGATTTTCCCAATCCACCTGTATATTGAAATCCCCCATGATCACCAAAACTTTGCCTTTATTACACACCTTTTATACCTCCTGATGTATCCTGCGCCCAAGCTCCTGACTACTGTTTGGAGGCCTGTACATAACTCTAGCTATGTTTTTTTTTAACCCATGCAGTTCCTCAACTCTACCCACACACAGATTCTACACCATCTGACTCTTCTTTGTTTCTTTCTCTTGATTTAATTTCATTTCTTACTAATAAGGCAACCTCAACCCCTCTGCCCACTGCCATTTTTTTTGATAAGATGTATATCCTTGGATATTTAGCTCCCAATCCTGATCGCCTTGCAGCCAATGCCCACCACGTCATATCTGCCAATTTCAATCTGTGCCACAAGCTCATTTACCTTCTTTCTTATACAGTGCACATTCAGCAATGAGCCATAGATCGAGCTAACGATCTATGGGTGGGATACATGTCCCATTCAGACAACGCCATCGCCTTCCGAACATTAATGTTTTGCACATTTAAAATGTGCTAAACGCAATCCCAATTAGACTGCGCCTACTTCACCAAGTCATAAAATTACAATTAGAAATATTTTGATGTGTTGCAAGTCATCAGAATCCCTTCAATTCCTACAAGGTATTTGGGTGAATGAAAGCAACCAATTCTATCCTTTGTGGAACATTTGCTACTTCTAGGACTTTTACAGCTGAAATCCTTCTGTTGCAATAAGCCAAAAGGAAAAAAAATCTTGTGACTACCTTGGCATCAAAACGAAATTCATCTTGCACCAACTTGAAACAATGGAGGTATAGTACTAGACAAGCAAGCAAAATTGCTACATGTCTGGTAACAAATCTTTCATCTTATGCTTCATAATCCATGTCACTTTTCATTTGGCTGACAAACATGCTGCTTCATTCACAGCAGTGAGCTCTCATAGCACGAATGTTCACTTGTTGAGCACCTTGTACAAAGAAAATGTTTTACTCAAGTTCAAGAGATAGCCTTCATTTCTGACTGTAGGTCAACCCTGAAGAAGTTACTATCATGCATTTTAAGATTAGTGGCTGGAAATATATAGAAGGTGCAAGCTGGAAGTGCGCATATGCCTTACCGTGAGGAAAAAAGCAAATTCAGGAGGTTATTCTCTTAACTCCAGTGCATGGAAGGGTGAATGTACAGAAGCAACAAAGTCAAGCCTTAAACTCAAAAGAGATCCTGAGCTGGGTTAGCTAGTGTGTTACTTATCTACACTTTTCAAAAACAGCACGTTGGATCGACATCATCCACAATGTGAAAGCTTTTCATACTTAAAAATCTGTTTTCCTAGGTAGTATTTCAGTCACAAGGCTTATGTTCTAACAACAGTCGCAATGAAAATCAGAGATATGGGCTTGAAGCAATCAAACTAAATTGTTTGAGAAAGCTATATTAAAAGACAAAAATTAATTAGATAGGTTACTTGTGCTGAATTTTGCCATCTCGACATTGTCAAAAGAGGAGTTTATGAATACAAATTCTCACTCTATGATCTGTTACTGTAACCAAAGGTTTTGTGTGACTGATCCACTTCAGTTTTTTATTCAGTATGTGGATGTACCTACTACAGAAGGAGCAAACTTGACCTTCTCTTAGGAAATAAGGCAGGACAAGTGACTGAGGTGTCAGTGGGGAGCACTTTGGGGCCAGTGATCAAAATTCTATTTGTTTTGAAATTGTTATAGAAAAGGATTGGCCTGATCTAAAAGTTAAAGTACTAAGTTGGAGGAAGGCCAATTTTGATGGCATTAGGCAAGAATATTCACAAGTTGGTTGGAGGCAGCTATTTGCAGGTCTTTTCCCCAGGGTGGGTGAGTCTAAAACTAGAAGGCATAGGTTTAAGGTGAGGGGGGAAAGATGTAAAAGGGACCTAAGGGGTAATTTTTTCACACAGAGTGTGGTGCCTGTATGGAATGAGCTGCCAGAGGTGGTGGTAGAGGCTGGTATAATTGCAATATTTAAAAGGCATCTGGATGGGCACATGAATAGGAAGGGTTTAAAGGGGTATGGGCCAAATACTGACAAATGGAACTAGATTAATTTAGGATATCTGGTCAGCATGGATGAGTCGGACTTAAGGGTCTTTTTCCATGCTGTACGTCTCTAACACTATCATATCTACCATAGACTTTTAAAATGGATATTCATTTTATCCAATGATTTTCCCAAATTTATAATCAGGCCATGGAAATAAAATGGCAATGGCTTCAAGAATACAGACCTAACCAGAGATGCTTGCTGCAGCTTTGTTACGTAAACAATCATTTGATAACTTGGAATTGAAACAAGGTGAAAAAAAAGGTTCAGTTTTTCGAATTCAAAATAGATCAGAAAGTAGTCTTGAACACAGTGTACAAAACAACACTTACAAAATGTCATTTACTTTCAGCTAATAACTAGCAAGCCTCCTGGGAGATAACTAAAGTCTTTGCAGATTTGACTTTTACGACCCCCAAAAGAGAGAGAAGCCAGAAGTAAGTTCATGGAGATGAGGCTGACAACAGAAGTGTTGTTGGAAGCAGTACCCAAGCAGTCATGGCTGAGAAGAAGTCCTCAGTTAGTTCCCGAGTAGTTCCAAAATACTTCGAAGCAATATTCCCTTCAAGCTGTGCTGCCACGTGAAGATTCTGCATACACAGAAATGAGCGCCAACAGCTTTTCCAGCATTAACTTCCAGTTTCAGAAGCTGCTGTAGTTGAAAGACTAATTAGAGGGAATATTGCTTAGTCGTCAGTAAGAACAAACCTCCAGATGCAGAAGGTTGTGGGCATATCAGCAGTAATACAATTGATGCTGCCGATCAGCAACACAAAAGATTGCACAATAGAAATATGTATAAAGAGCTTTGTTCAATATCAGCAAATCATGATAAACAAATAAATGTGAAACAAAACAGGACTAGAAACATGCATTTTGAATCTAGGTAAATTCAATTCTAAATCCTCTATCGAAACTGCTGTCAAAATATCAGGAATTAATTAGCTTGATACTATTTCAGTGAAACATCTAGGCAAGTATCACTATGCTAAAGGCACCATAGAAATGCAAGTTGTAATTGTGGGAATTCTATTAAAAAAGGCATGAATGGGATTGTCTGCTGATCAGTCACCCAAACACTACAGAAAGCCAACCAAAGCTAAGAGGGAATTTAATCCTATGACATCACATAGGTGCAAAAACAACCTTTAGGGAAAGTTACAATCTGGAGGGATAAACAAGGATTCGGAGTTGTTAAGCCAAACCCTGCAGCCTTGTGCAAGGAGTTGATGGGTAGAGTTGTGTGATTCGAGAAAGGGTTGCCCCCCCCCCAAACAGGAGACACACTGTGTGTCTGCTTTATAGGGAATTGCAGGGACACTGCTTGAAGCAAGGAGCAGATAACTATGACTGCAGCAGTAAGTCAGGGATAACTACTTATTACTGACGAAAAGTACTTTACAAAATTCCAGGAATGGCAATAATACAAAACTCTTAAAACCACTCACTAACTACCTGGACTATTACCGTGGGTGGCATGGTGACTCAGTGGTTAGCACCGCTGCCTCACAGCACCAGGGACCCGGGTTCAAATCCACCCCTGAGCAACTGTCTGTTTCGATATGCACATTCTCCGCGTCTGCATGGGTTTCCTCTGGGTGCTCTGGTTTCCTCCGGGTGCTCTGGTTTCCTCCCACAGTCCAAAGATGTGCAGGTTGGGTGGATCGGCCATGTTAAATTGACCATAGTGTCCAGGGATGTGCAAGCTAGGTGGGTTAGCCGTCGGAAATGCAGAGTTACAGGGATAGGGAGGGGGGTGCTCTTTGGAGGGTCATGTGAACTCGGTCAGTTGAATGGCTTGCTTCCACACTGTAGGGATTCTGTGATGAAAATCCCCCTATTCCCCCAGCCTATATTTAAATTTGACAGTCTATAGTGCTGCTTCACTCCTATTTAAGAGTATTGCTGTGTTTTGCAGCCAAGTACTACAAAACCTTTGCTGGAGCGAGACATTTTGCAGTGTCTGCGAAATTTTCGCTTACAGTCTTGAGTTCAAAGGTTTTTGCTCTACACATTACTAGACGTATTAACGGATACTGACAGGTAAGGGCAACAACCTATATTTAAGTAGTCTTAAGTTTTCAGTCACTTCTCACTTACTCACTCTATATCTCTTCACCCCAACTTTGGTCTTTCACCTCTCCCATTTCTCACTTCTTCACTTCTCATACTTCAAATTTACTTCGTCTTATTCTTTTGAAGTACTTGGATTGAATGGACGGACAGGTAAGTCTTTCAAAAAGTATGAACACTTCATATGTAACAGTCAAAACGTATTATCTAAGAAAGTATTAATGAAATGGTCATGCAGGTAATAACAATCAAGGGATGAGGCAATGTAGACACTGGATAAACTTCAAATTAATGAGGAAAACCCAACTAGTTTAAAGTTAATCAATGGGCACAATATCAACCACTGTATGATAGATCTAAGTTTACCAGGCAGTAATTAAAACACACAAACCAGAATTAAGATTCAATTCCTATTCTCTGGGCCAGGCAGATAAACTTCCAGGCTCCCAACTCATCAGCACAATTTAGTGATTGTTGTTACAAATGCACGTGTGGATAACAGGCAAGGAAAGCATTGATCTGATACAATGTCTAAGCCCTTCTGTGGGCACTGGTCTCTCTAATTTATTTTTGTGTGGACCACTGGTCAATTTCGTATTGAAACTGCATAGCTTGAATAGAGATTGTGGATTGCTGTTGAGAGGAAACACCAGTCAAGGCTCGCATATGAATGATTGAAATATGAAGGATCAGACATTAACCAATACTTGTGAAACATATTTCATCAAGGGATCAAATTATTCAAGATAGAATAGTCAGGGGGAGAAATAAATTTGAGTAATTTTACTGCAGCGTAAGGTCACCAAGCATAGTTTACAGCTCTAAATTCTTGAAGAATATGACACAAATGTAAGTTCATTATAAATGCTGTATAAAATAGTACTTACAATTTTTGAATGCATCCATCTGGCCTTCCATTCACTGCTTGACAGGATAAATTTTTCTTGCATGTTTCTTCAGTTTCAGATTCAGAGTCAAGAAAAAGGACTCCCTTTTCTTTTCTCCTAAAATACGATAAAAAGTTCGACTGCTTTCCTTCTGGAGTCTCTGGTACAATGGTCACTAAGTAATTAATGAAAAAACAATAAAATATTTCAATGACTGCTGTTTTACTAAAAAATTCCAGATGTCAAAATGTATTCTAATATTTGACACTTGCTTTGTGTGGTTAACTGTTCACAGTAAGTGGTAAGTGCTGCAACAAAATTACTGAGACTTCAACCTCTCTCTAAACATGGTCCCTGATAAAGGCAACCATTCTCGCAGTAACAATTGAAGTCCAATATTGTACACACTGACCTGTAGCCTATTTTATCATTTTAAATATGTCACACTATAGCTATCTACTTTTGTCCCAATGTTAACATTTTTCCCCCAATTAACCGTTAAACATTTGAACTCGATTGGAGTATTACTTTTAAAAGTTTGAAATGGTTTTTCAGCTGGTTTGCTCAGCCTCATAGCTCTCATGATTTCTCCTGGGAGATCGGAGCTATGTTCAAAAATATCGCCAATTGATTGTTTGTTTAACAAAAAAATTCCAGTTTGGTAATACAACATTTAACGACTAACTTCCTAGTGCCTACAATACATGATAAATCAACTAAATTTTCTGCAGCATGGAAGAATAAATTCACACACAAGTTCCGAAATAGGATTAAATAATTCAGTTTGTCTAATACAAAAAGTTTAGCTTGCAGCTGACGTTGTATTTGTTTATTTAGCAAATGCAAATCCTTGGAATCAATTTATAGTCTCGTTTCCTGAGCTAAGATCAGATTGTTGCCATTGTAACAAAATATGAAGTCTGCCTCTTACACTGTAAAGGCGACACTCTGGTTACACGCAGCATTGCTCGTCTCTCCCCATGAAGTGCATAAAGGGTTTGCACTGAGAAACCAACAGTGGAGGTTGTCTGTGCAGAGACCCTGGCTTGCCCTGAACCTGTTTAACAAGCAGTACTCTCACTCTCTCATTATACAGCTGCTTCTTTATCCTTTACAAGAGGAGGTAGCTGCCCAATAATATGACCTACTTTAGAATAAAAACAATTAAATAGCTGTTTATTGGTACAGAACTTAAATATTGATGATAAAAAAAGACAACTGTCAAATATTTTAATTTTGCATTAACACCACATAAGAAAGTGCTGATTTGTTATCAAATAGCTTCTTGTACAGGAGTTGTGGTGGGAAATGGACCAATTAATGATGATTGACAATTAAATGTCAGAATTTGCATATCACATAAATGAGTAATGCGACATATGAATTCGAGTACAAGTATACAAGCCATATGTCCCAAAGACTAGTGGATTTTTTTCTCTCTTCTTTTTTATTTTACTTTACCTCTTGATGAAGAGCGTGGTCACTAGATGGCATTAGCACTGATGAGTGGGCCAAGCAGCGCAGACTCACGTCAACAAGGTTAGAGAAGAGGTCGGGTTCCTGGCAGCTTCCGTGTTGTCGATGCCATCGTTGTCTTGCTGCCATCGTTGTCTTGCTGCCAGCTCGATATACAATTCATCTCACCTTCTTTGGCCAGTGATGGGTGAGGAAGCAGGTTCTGTGAGGTTGCTGCAGTTGAGATTGCGGTGTGGATCTGGCTGTTCCTCACGGCGGCTTCAGCGGCAGTTGAAGACAGGGTGGGCCCAGGCGCAGGATTCCAATGGCCAAGGTTTTCCTTGAGGCTCCTGCAGCACCTTCACAGCAGCATGGTTGGTCTGGTACAGCCTGGAAATCCTTTTGGCAGGTGTTTTCATTGGTGTCAGTCTAGGTCTCCTTGTGGCAACTTCAGTCAGTCTGTGATTCCATGCAACGCTTTCTTTAGCGCTTTAATGGATCCTGCTCAGGATTTAACAGTCATCGGGTCCACCAGGCCAGGCCCTGAAATGGGCTAAGTGGACTGTGTTTTAAATTCTTTTGTTTTTAATTTCTTTTTTCTTTGTTATATTATGGTGGAAATAATGTTATTCTTACATTTTTATTTCATTAGTTTTCTAATTTATTACTATGATTTTGTACTTTTGAATTTCTGTTTATTTTTTATTCTTCTAATTTTCTTTTCCTAAGAATTTGTACTCAAGAATTTATACCTAGGTACGTATTTACCTAAAATGGCACCATAAGTGGCAAATTGTAAACTTTTCGCTGTACTTATGTGAGTACATGTGATATTAAAGCTAATTCAATCCAAACTTGTAAAACTCAGTGTCCATTGAGATGTGATCCTTCAAACAGAAAAACATTTCCAGACAATCTTGAGTGTGCAAAGAACTATACTAACAATCAACTTAGGACTGTCAGTGCACAGCATGGCACATTTACGTGAACTGGTACATATATTAATACACAGGACCCAGTACCTGTTTCAATTCAACAAAATAAATAACAGTTGTTCATGGATCATTTCGCAGGTCAAAGTCCTGGCATCAGTCAACCTGCCTGGTTAAAATATAAACAAAGCCTAGCAGTTAACTGAATCACCATTAACTGGGTGAACTCTCCATGGCAACATCTCTAATAATCAGAGCTCACCTGCCAAGCAATCAGCACTCTACGGTCATGCAACGTAATTGTTGATTTTTCCCTTAAATTGGTATTCTTGCAAATTATTCTGATGAGTGCAAGAAAAGCTTCAGCAACATGTGTCTCTTCACAGCAATTGAAGATATCCTCCTGTTAAGTCCATCCTGAGCCATGGGTACAAGTATAGCTCAAATTAGGAAAGAAGAGAGGAATTCAAGTTTCAGAGATAGTAAGAACTGCAGATGCTGGAGAATCTGAGATAACAAGGTGTAGAGCTGGATGAACACAGCAGGCCAAGCAGCATCAGAGGAGCAGTAAGGCTGACGTTTCGGGCCTAGACCCTTCTTCA